ATATATAATATATAATATATATATATATATATATATATATAATATATATAATATATATTATATATATAGGCCAATGCAAATGCATGCATATACATTTATATATATATATATACATATATATATATATACATGCCTATTTTTAAAAATTTGTATATATATACAATGTATATATATATATATATATATATGTTTGTCTCCTTGTGTCTCTTTGTCTGTGTGTCTCCTGTTCTGAGTGTGGCGTGCTGTTAGTACGAGGGTTGTGTTGCTGCAGGCAGCAGCAGCAGCAGCAAGAGAGGCTGCTTTACTAGAAGCATTAAGATCTCTTAAAGAAGAGACAGACAAGACAAACGAAGAGAGAGACAAAGAAGTAGAGGAGCTGCAGCACAAGCTGCAGAAGACAGCAGCAGCACTTCATAAAGAAAAAACAGCAAAGGAGACGCTGCGCTCCCGAGTATACACAACTCTACTGCTGCTGCTGCTGCTGCTGCTGCTGCTGGTGCTACTGCCGCTGCTGCTGCTGTTGCTCCTCTTTCTCCTAGGGCTGCTGCTGCTGCTTCTGCTGCAGCAGCAATGATATTTCTCTGCTTCAGCAATACCTCCCACATTCATAGAGAGCCGAACACTACTACTAATATAACTGCTGCTGCTGCTGCTGCTGTTGCTGCTGCTGCTGCTGCTGCCGCTACTACTCCTACGCCTGCTGCTGTTGTTGCTGCTGCTGCTACTACTATTACTGCTACTACTGCTGCTGCCACTACTACTGCTGCTGTTGCTGCTCCTACCACTATTCCGGCTAAAACTCTTGCTGCAGCAGCAGCAGCGGCAGCTGCTGCTGCTGCTGCTGCATTTGCATGCATGCAGTTTGAAAGGGTTCAAGAGGAGCTAGAAGGACAGACAGCGGAGTGCAGCAAACTGCGCGATGCGTTGGGGGCCCTGGAGCAGCAGCACCGCCAGCTGATGGTTGCAGTAGAGAAGGAAAGAGAAGCAATCTCAGATAAGCAGCAACAGCAGCAACAGCAGCAGCAACAGCTGGAGCAGCAACTGCAGCAGCAACAGCAGATGCTGCAGCAACACAAACTCATGGGATCAACTCAAGCATCGCAGGCTCTACAATCTCAGGTAGCTGCAGCACTCTCTTGCTGCTGCTGCTGCTGCTGTTGCTGCTGTTGCTGCTGCTGCTGCTGCGACTAGCGCTATTGCACTAGTGTTGCCATCGTTTGTTGCTTCTGTTTGCTGCTGCAACTCTTTACTGCTGCTGCTGCTGCTGCTGGGGGTTGAAGCAGCGTTTTGCTGCATTTTTTCTGTTTGTCTCCACGTGGCTGTACCGGCTGCTGCTGCAGCTCGATGCTGCTGTTGCTGCTGCTGTTGCTGTTGTTGCTGCTAGTGGTGCTGCTGAATCCCTTCTTTTGTTGCGTTTGTGCATATGCGGGAGCAGCAGGAGCAGCTGCAGGAGCTGCAGCAGCAGCTGCAGCAGCTGCAGCAGCTGCATGCGCAGAGCAGCAGTCGGTGGCGGCAGAAGCTTCGGGTGTACAAGCAGCTATCTCAGAGCCTCCGAGCAAAGCACTGCCACCTGCAGCAAGAAAAGTCTGTGCTGCTGCAGCATATTAAAAGCATTCGTCAAGAAGGAGGTGCTGCTCTCTCGCAGGTTCTTGCTGCTGCTAACGGGCCCCTCTTGTCCCCAATGGAAAGGCACGAACTCCTGCTGCTGAAGCAGCAGCAGCAGCAGCAGCAGCAGCAGCAGCGGAATCAGCAGCAGCAGCAGCAGCAGGAAGCGGAGGAGGACGATGCGCCGTTCTCTGGCGAGAGGGCGAATATGTATGAGACTGCAGCAGCAGCAGCTGCTGCTGCAGCTGCAGCTGCAGCAGCAGCAGACATCTCCCAGCCAGCAGCAGCAGCCGCTGCACCAGGAAGAGACACCTCTCTGTTGCATCTGCTGTCTCCTTTCCCAAGGCAGACTTCGGCTCCCTGCAGCATTGCTGCTGCAGCAGCAGAGAGGCAGCAGCAAACTAGCAACAGCAGCACATCTCATTCGCTGCTCTTGCAGCAGGACAGCGCAGCAGCAGCAGCAGCAGCAGCTGCTGCTGCTGCTGCTGCTGCGCCGCAACAGCTTCAGCAGCAAAGACAACTGCATGCACTGGCGTCTCCTCTGTCTGCTGCTGCTCTGTCTGCTGCTTCCCCAAGGGCCCCTGGGGGCCCCTGGGGCCCTGAAACAGCTGCTATGCAAACTGCTGCAGCAGCAACGGGGTTTAGGGGGCCCCAGGGATCATCGACTCCAGCAGCTGCTGCACGCGCTCCTGCAGCAGCTGCTGCAGCAGCAACAGCAACAGCAGCAGCAACAGCTGCAGCAGCTGTAGCTCCACTTCGAGCGCCTGCATGCCTAGCATCCCTTCCTACATCTAAACCCTTGGGGGCCCCTAAACCTTTTGTGGGGCCCCCATCAAGATGTGCGGGGCCCCCTGTGCCTAAGGGGGCCCCCGCCTCTATGGGGCCCCTCCCCCTATCTATGAGGGCCCCTCTGCCTGGGGGCCCCACCCCGGTATCTATAGGGGCCCCTATAGGGGCCCCTGTGTCTGTGGGTCCCCCCACCGTATCTATAGGGGCCCCCATGCCTGGGGGGGGCCCCCAAGGCCCTGTTGGTGTGCTAAGGGCGTTGTCCTGGACCTCAACATATTCTGCTGCGCAGGAGACAGAAGGAGACAACAGAGAAAGGAGACAGCAAACGCCTAGAGGAGACACTGCAGCAAATGCTGCTGCAGCAGCCGCCCCTCCTCATAGGGTCTACTGCCCTCTACACGGAACACTCACAGGGGCCCCTATGGGGGCCCCCATAGGCATAGGGGCCCCCATAGGCATAGGGGCCCCCACAGGCGTAGGGGCCCCCACAGGGGCCCCCATAGGCATAGGGGCCCCCACAGGGGCCCCTACAGGGGCACCTGTAGGTGTTGTGCCTGAGAGAAGAGAGGTGCTGAGGCCCCAAGTGAGGAGGGCCTCCACTATGCCTGCTGGCGGTGCTGCTAGGGTTTTAATATCATAATTAGAATGGGTGTTGAGGTGTATGTACACCTGAAGGCAGTGCAGCAACAGCAGCTTTTCTTGCTGCTGCTGGAGACAGTTTAAAAGACGCATGCAAGAGACAGAGACAAATTTTGTCTCTCTTTAAACAGACATTTCCGGTGTACATACACCTCAGATGTATGAGGAGCACTGAGGCCCCTACACATCCCATACAAAGCTGAGCTGCCTGTACACCAGAAGCTGCCTATACAACAGAAGCTGCCTATACACCAGAAGCTGCCTATACACCAGAAGCTGCCTATACACCCGAGAGCCCCCTGTACACCGGAGCCGGTGGAGCGGTGAGGGCTGAGGGGGAGAGTTAAGTTTTTAGTTCGTTACGACTTATTTTATTATTTTATTTTATTTTATTTTATAGATCAGGAGGGACGGGGCCCTTGGGCGCCTCTCTGTCTCTGTCTCTGTCTGTCTCTCTCTGTCTGTCTCCCGAGGGTTTAGGGTTTAGGGTTTGAAGACACTTTAGTTGAGCTGAGGTATACGTACACCGGAGTGTAGATAAAACACAACACCAAAACACCCTCAAGTCTTTGCCCTTGGAGCATGCAGCAGCAGCAGCAGCAGCAGCTGTTGCTGCTGCTGCTGCTGTTGCTTGTGCTGCTGCATGCGTTGCTGCGGGCGAGGCGCAGATAGCCCCTTGTTGCTGCAGCAGCAACAACTGCTGCTGCTGCTGCACGTGCTGTTGTTTGTGTTGCTGCTAGCGAGGCGTTCTTATTCCCTCGCTGTAGCTGCTGCTTGCGCTGCTGCTACTGCTGCTGCTGCTGCTGCTACTGCTGCTGCTGCTGCTGCTGCTACTGGTGCTGCTATCCCCTAGGAGTATCGATTTGCTGCCCCGGGCACCGCAGCAGCAGCGGCAGCACAGCAACAAGAGCCTGCTGCAGCGATTTTAAAGAACGAGCTCCAGTAATAGTAATTCTCCCGCTGCTAAATGCATGCAGCGTAACAACTTCAGTCTTGCGGCTCTGGGGGCCCCCCGGGGGGCCCCCCTCGCTGCTGCGGGTCCACGCACCAGAGGGGGCCCCCTCATCATCTCGATTATCTTGCTGCGCAGCATACACTAAACCCTAAACCCTAAACCCTAAACCCTAAACACTAAACCCTAAACACTAAACCCTAAACCCTAAACACTAAAACCCTAAGCCCGGAGAAGAGGGGTGCGTTGACTTCGCGCGAGGCACAAGATTGTGTTCAGATGGACAATTAGGGTTTAGGGTTTAGAGGTAATTTGTTTGATTGAGCTTAGAGTTTAGGTTTGGAAGTGGTTGTTAGGGTTTAGGGTTTGAGATGTCTGCTACGGCTGAGGGTTTACTGTTTAAAGCGTGCATCGTTTGCTGCGGTTTAGCGTTAGGGTTTAGGGTTTAGAGCTCCAATTGTCTGTCAGTGTTTACTGTTGAAGGTTTGACCTGTTGTCAGGGCTTAGGGTTTCTACCTGTTTGCAAGTGTTAACTGTTTAAGGTGTTTGTTAGGGTTTAGGGTTTTGGGCTTCTACCTGTTAGTAAGTGTTAGGGTTTAGGTTTTAGGGTTTAGCGTTAGGATTTAGGGTTTAGGGTTTGGGGTTTGTAGGTGTTAGTAAGTGTTAGGGTTTAGGGTTTAGGGTTTAGGGTTTACCTGTTTGTGTGTGTGGTTTTGAATAGGGATTTTGAGTCTAGCGCCAGGGAAGCGTTCAGGATCGATATCAATCTGAATATTATTTGCTGCAGCAAGAGCAGCAAGCTGCTGCAGCTGCAGCCTCCCAGCCAATGCATAAGAAGCTAGTAGATTTCCTACCTTAAAGTTTATGAGCTTTGTCTCCTTCTCGACTAAACCCTTTTCTACTAAACGCCTCAGCACCTTCAACATCGCTACTCGCAAAGATAACACCGTATTCGCGCCCGTACCCATTATCTTCCCGTTGCTGCACCAGCAGCAGCAGCAGCAGCAGCAGCAGCAGCAGCAGAAACAGAGAAAAGGTGAGGTAGGGATATAATCGTACAGATGAAAATGCATGCATAAACAAAGAAACAGGTGTGAAGCAGCAGCAACATATATATATATAATATATATAATACATATATAGCAGCAACAAACAGCAGCAACAGCAGCAGCAGGTCTAGCAGCCCCGAAGAACCAGGAGAAGCAGCTGCAGCAGCAACAGCAGTATAAACAGCAGAACGAGCAGCAACAGCAGCAGCAGCAGCAGCAGCAGCAAGAGCAACAACAACAGCACCAGCAACAGCAGCACCAGCAACAGCAGCACCAGCAACAGCAGCACCAGCAGCAGCAGCAGCAGCAGCAGCAGCAGTACCTGAAGATGTTGAGAGATGCAATACCGTTAGCCCCGCATCGAATATCGACGCGAACGGAGTGAAACTCGCGAGGAGAAAACACAGAGTTGCCCAATACTCTGCATGCACCTCAGCATACACCCCAAGGTGTATAGGCACCTGCAGCAGCTGCAGCAGAAGGTGCTGCTGCAACAGCTGCAGCACCCCACGGTGTATAGACACTTGTAGTGGCTACAGCAGCAGGTGCTGCAGCAGCATCTGCTGCTGCTGCTGCTGCTGATGCTGATGCTGCTCGAAAGAGACAGTGCATGCACTAGCGGGTGTTGTGTGGATGTACAGCAGAAAAGGAGACAGCAGCAAATCGAAGAGAGACAAACAAGAAGGTAATGCAGAACAGCAGCACAAGCAGCAGCAGCAGCAGCAGCAGCAGCAGCAGAACTAGCAGCAGACAGAAGCCTACACGGAAAAGGAGACAGTGAATAAGGAGACAGCAAATGAAGAGACAGCAAATGAAGAGACAGCAAACGAAAAGATATAAACAAGAGGCAAAGACAGACAAACAGAGACATCATACTGCAAATGAAGCAGCAAAGATAAACGAACAACACACGCAAACACCGCGTGCAGCAGCAGGCAGCAGCAGCAGGAAGAAGCAGAATCAAGGTGCAGCAGCAGCCAGCAGCAGCAGGAAGTAGCAGCAACTCGGGTGTATGTGCAGGTAGTTGCTGCATTACTTGGAGGCAGCAGCAAGATTAATAGGGGAGTTTATCTGCCCGTAGGCCATCACATTATGTACAGCGAGAACATCTACCTCAGCTCCTCCACGTGCTGCTCCTCGGGCTGCTGCTGCTGCTGCTGCTGCTGCTGGCGGCGCTGCTGCTGCTGCTGCTGCTGCCGGAGCTGCTGCTGGAGCTGCGGGGGGGCCTCGAAGTGAAGGCACAGCTGCTGCTGTTGCTGTTCGTGTACATCCAGAAGCTGTCTCCATTGCAACGAGTCAACTGCAGCCGCTGATGCTGCTGCTGCCACTGCTGCTGCTGTTGCTGTTGCTGTTGCTGTTGCTACTGCCGGGACTGCAACTGCCTCTGCTGCAGCTGCAGCAGCAGCTGCTGCTAGTTCCAGCACTGTTGCTGCAGAGGACTCCTCTTCTCTTGACGGACGGAAAGCGACAGCCGCTGGAGCAGCAGCTGCTGCAGTAGCGGCAGCAGCAGCGGCAGTTGCTGTTGCTGCTGCAGCGGCAGTTGCTGCAGCTGCTGCTGCAGCAGGAACTGCAGCAACAACAACAACACCAGCCGGGGGTACAGCAGGGGAGAGAAGAAGTTTAAGTAAAGACTGATTAACAGCAAGATGAGGAGAAGGGGCCTCTGCTGCAACACGGAGCAGCAGCAGCAGCAGCAGCGGCAGCAGCAGCAGCAGCAGCAGCAAATAAAGAAGTAAACCTTTGATTAGAACATAGGGGGAGTTTATAAAACCAATTCTATTAACTTTGTATTACACTCGGTTGTCCGTACACCCCAAACAGTAGCAGCAGCCTCCCTAGGAAGTATAACCCTCTGCTGATGCTGCTGCTGCAGCAGCAAATAAATAAACCCATATATGTCTTTGCATAAGTTGTGTGCTGCTGCTGCTACTGCTGCTGCTGCAGCTTCTTGAGGGTTACGGTATGCTAAGCGCTAACGGCCGCTGCTGCGGCGCTGCCGACCTACCCGCTGTGCAGCAGCAGCAGCAGCAGCAGCAGCTGCTGCTGCTGCTGCTGCTGTTTACAGCCGCATGCAGCAGCAGAACAGCTACCTCAAACTGCTGCGAGGGTTTTTTCTCGTTGGATATGTTTTCTTTTTGATATATCTCTCTGATGTGCAGATTTTTCTTTGCTTAATATTGTTCTCGGCGTCCTTAGCAGCAACAGCAGCAGCAGCAGCAGCAGCAGCAGCAGCTGGATTTCTCGCTGGCTGGCCGTCAGCGTTGCTGACGGAGTGTACGTACACCCCAATTGGGGTCAAAGCGGTTTTGTTTTTTATTTCTTTTATTTTAATTAATTGTTACATTCTGCTGTACTCGCCCCTACAACAGTTCCAGCTGCAGCGCAGCAGCAGCAGCAGCAGCAGCAGCAGCAGCAACACACAACAATGGCGCCCCCTACATCGAAAGACAGCGCAACGCTGTTTGGAGAAGACAATGAAAGCGTTGGCGTTGTATTCAAAGTTGCAGGACCTTGTGAGCTGCACATACACCCCAGCGCACACATTTGCTGCTGCTGCTGCTGCTCGTGCTGCAGTGTTGCGCCTGCTGTTGTTGCTGCAGCAGTGTTGCTGTTGATATAGTGTTGCTGCTGCTTCAGTGTTGCTGCTGCATCTCTTGCTGAGCCAGCTCGGCTTCAGCAGCAGCAGCGTTTGCTGCTGAGTCCCTGCAGCAGCATAGCAAGGCAGCAATATGCTACTGCGGCTGCTGCTGCATTTGTTCTGTCGTTGCTGCTGCTACTCTTAACCCTCCTCCAAACACCCCTCTATCCCTTCGCGCTGCTGTTACTTTTGCTGCTGCTGCTGCTACTACTACTACTACTACTATTCCCGCTGCTGCTGCTCCCGCCGCTGCTGCTCCCGCTGCTGTTGCTGTTGCAACTGCTGCTGTTACTGCAATAACCAATGCTGCTTCTCCCGCTGGTACTGCTCCCTCACTGCTACTGCTGTTGCTCCTGCTGCTGCTGCTGCTGCTGCTGCTGCTGCAGTGGTTGTTGCGGAGCAGATGAGCGGCACGAAGATGTACGAGTTAGTGCGGGTTGGGTGGCTGCGACTGGTTGGAGAGATAATTCGTTTAGAAGGAGACAGCGCCTACATTCAGGTCTACGAGGAGACAGGTAACCAGTCCTCCTGCTGCTGCTGCTGCTGCTGCTGCTGCTGTTGCTGCTGCTGTTGCTGCTGGTAGTGGTGGTCGCCTTGGTGCTGTTGCTGCTGCTGCTGCTGCTGCTGGTAGTGGTGGTCGTCGTGGTGCTGTTGCTGCTGCTGCTGCTGCCGTGGTGCTGCTGTTGCTGCTGCTGCTGCTGTTGAGCTGCTTCTGTTGCTGCTGCTGTGCTGCTGTCGGTGTTGTTTGTGTTGCTGCTGGTGCTATGGTGATATGGTTTCTCTTGCTGCTGTTGCTGTTGCTGTGGAACATTGCTACTGCTGCACCTGTTGCTGCGGGACACTGCTGCTGCTGCTGCTGCTGCTGCTGCTGCTGCTGCTGCAGCTGGTTTGTCTGTGGGAGACCCTGTGCTGAAGACAGGTCATCCCCTTTGCGTTCGACTGGGCCCCGGTAAGTACTGTCTCTTCTCTTCATTTATTTTTTTATTTATTTATTTTGTTTATTTGTTTATTTTGTTTATTTATTATTATATGCTGCTGCTGCTGCTGCTGCTGCTGCTGCTGCTGCTGCTGCTGCTGCTGCGCTCTCCATTTGTTTTTTTTTTGTTTTGTATCGTCTAAGAAATAATACACAAAAACAATAATAATAATTAACAGTACAAAATTAATATATTTTAATATGCTGATATATTTATATATGTCATTTATATTGTTTAAGCATTAGTATATACTATATATAATATAAATGTTATATTTGTGTTTATAAATATAAATATATATATAAATATACGTATAACCCATATAAATAAAGATAAAGAAGATTATATATAACTAAATATCTACACCTATAAATATAAAGTAAATAAAACAAATATAATTAAATAAATAGAAATAAAGATAATGATGTATTGTGTTTAAATAAACAAATAAGTAAATAAGAGAATATATATATATATATATATATATACATATGTATGTATGTAGAAATAAAGATAATGATGTATTGTATTTAAATAAATAAATAACTAAATAAACAAACAAACAAATAGGCAAAATGATAAATAAACAAAAAGAAATAAAGATAAGGATGTATATTATATTTATATATTTTTTTCAGGGTTATTAGACGGCATCTTCGACGGTATTCAGCGGCCTTTAGAAAGAGTTGCTGCTGCTTCTTCTTCAGTGTTTATACCCAAAGGCTGCGATGCGTCTCCTTTAGATGTTAATAAGAAGTGGATGTACACCCCAGCAGATAATATCAAAGTAGGAGATATCATCACAGGTAAAGTACTACTATTCCTGCTTCTCAAACGGCCGCTGCTGCTGCTGCTGCTGCTAGGGCTGCTGCTGATGCTGCTAGGGCTGCTGCTGATGCAGAGACAGAGAGACAGAGACAGAGACAGACAGACAGAGGCAGAGACAAGGAGACAGAGACAAAGAGACAGAGGCAGAAAGACAGAGACAGAGAGACAGAGAGACAGAGACAGAGAGACAGAGACAAGGAGACAGAGACAGACAGAGAGACAGAGACAGAGACAGAGAGACAGAGACAAAGAGACAGAGACAAGGAGACAGAGAGAAAGAGACAAGGAGACAGAGAGAAAGAGACAAGGAGACAGAGAAGCAAATAAGCAGTCAATATAGTTTATTTGCGTTGCATGCATGCAGGAGGAGACGTGTTAGGCGCTGTCTTTGAGAATAATTTGTTTAAAAATCACAAAATTTTGGTGCCGCCCAAACAAAAGGGGCGGATAACGTACATCGCTCCTCCCGGTAAACATTAATATTTATTTATTTATATTTATTTATTTATTTATATTTATATTATTTATTTATATTTATTTATTTATTTGTATTTATGTATATTTATTTATTTATTTGTATTTATTTATTTTATATTTGTATTTGTTTATTTGTCTTTATGTTTATTTTCAGGTGTATGTGTTTATTGTATATTTTGTTTATATGCATTGGACGCTCCTACCTCCTAAAGAAAAGAATAAATAAATATATATAATATATATAATATATATATTATAAATAAATATCATATACATAATATATAATGTATATATGTTTATTTACATTTATCATCAGGGTTTAGAGTTTTTATAAATATATATTGTATATTTTATACTTCTGCTGCTTCTGCTGCCGTCTCTTCTTCTGCTGCCGCTTCCCCTACTGCTGCTGCTGCTGCTGCTGCTGCTGTGATTAGGAGAGTACAACATAACGGAGACGATAGCGGAGGTGGAGTTTCAAGGAGAGACATTTGAATTGTCTCTGTCTCACGACTGGGCTGTGCGAGAGCCTCGTCCTTGTCTAGAGAAACTGCCCGGCAATACGCCTCTTCTCACAGGTCAAAGGGTATTAGACTCTCTCTTTCCCACCGTTCAGGTACACCTGCTGCTGCTAGGGATGCTGCTGCTCCTGCTGCTGCTCCTGCTGCTGCTGCTAGGGATGCTGCTGCTGCTAGGGATGCTGCTAGTGGTGATGGTAGTGCTGCTGCTGCTGCTGCTGCTGCTGCTGCTAGGGATGCTGCTGCTGCGAGGGACGCTGCTAGTGGTGATGGTAGTGCTGCTGCTGCTGCTGCTGCTGCTGCTAGGGATGCTGCTGCTGCGAGGGATGCTGCTAGTGGTGATGGTAGTGCTGCTGCTGCTGCTAGGGATGCTGCTGCTGGTAGTGCTGCTGCTAACTCTTTTTCCTACCGTTCAGGTACTGCTTCTGCTGGTAGTGCTGCTGTAGTTGCTGCTGCAAGCGATACAACTCGAATGTGCTGCTGCTGCTGCTGCTGCTGCTGTTTGTTTGAATTATCAGGGAGGGACGTGTGCAATTCCCGGGGCATTCGGATGTGGGAAGACCTGCATTTCGCAAGTAAGCAGGGTTTAGGGTTTAGGGTTTAGGGTTTAGGGTTTAGGGTTTAGGGTTTGGAGGCTACGGGTTGCGTGTTGCGGGTATCGTAGAGAGCCTGAGAGAGTGTTATTATTACTGCTGATGCTGCTTCTGTTGTTGCTGCTGCTGCTGCATCTCTAACTGTTGTTTCTGCTGCTGCATCTCTTACTGCTGTTCTTGCTGCTGCTCTTCCCGCTGCTGCATCTCTCCTTCTAACCCCTACAACCGTTCCTCTTTCTAATCCCTACCCCCACCCCTACTACTACTACTACTACTACTACTACTACTACTACTGCTGCTGCTGCTGCTGCTGCTGCTGGTGCTATGAACAGGCTCTATCGAAGTACAGCAACAGCGAAGTTATAGTGTATGTAGGGTGCGGCGAGAGAGGCAACGAAATGGCGGAGGTTTTGGCGGACTTCCCGGAGTTAACGACGACAGTAGATGGACAAGAAGAGGGCATTATGCAGCGAACGTGTCTTGTTGCGAATACAAGTAATATGCCTGTAGCAGCAAGAGAAGCTTCTATTTATACAGGTATATATATAGATATATATATGTATATATAGATAGATATATAATATATTATATAATATTTATTTATTTATTATTTATTTATTTATTTATTTATTTATTTTATTATGCAGAGATTGATGTTTATAGGATTATAATCTCTTAATTACATCAATTTGTAGGTTTTTTATATATTTTTATTTGATTTTGTTTAAATTGATATATTTATGTTTGTTTTTATTTGTTTAGGCGTTACTCTAGCTGAATACTTCAGAGATATGGGGTATAATGTCGCTATGATGGCTGACTCAACTTCAAGATGGGCTGAGGCACTCAGAGAAATATCCGGAAGATTAGCAGAGATGCCTGCAGACTCTGGATACCCTGCTTATTTAGGGGCTAGACTAGCGAGTTTCTATGAACGTGCTAGTAAGAATACTAATAATTATAATAATAATAATTATTATTATTATTATTTTTATTATTATTGTAAAGCATTAAAAGGGCTTTCTATCGATATACTATAAGCAGAAAAAGAAATAAACAAAAGACAGATAAGAGACAGACAAGATAGAGATAATACCCTGCTTATTTAGGGGCTAGACTAGCTAGTTTCATAGTAATGATAATAATAATAATAATAATAATAATAATAATTATTATTATTATTATTATTATAAAGCATTAAAGAGTATTTAAATAGATATAATAAAAGAAAGAGAGAGGCAGAGAAGGAAAGAGACAGAAACTGAGAGACGGTTATGATATCACAGCAACAGCTGCTACCGATGCAGAACTGCTTTCTAGGGTTTAGGGTTTAGGGTTTAGGGTTTATGCATGCAGGCCGGGTGAAGTGTTTGGGGTCTCCTGATCGCGAAGGCTCTGTTACGATTGTAGGCGCGGTGTCTCCGCCTGGAGGGGA